AACTCGCAAAATAAAACAAAATAAAAATAAAACAACAAACACGAAAACACCAGACATTATGATACAGACTCATAACTTGTGCCGATGTTTTTTCGAAATTCTATACGCGAAAAGTGGGCGAGTTTGATAATTTAAAGTCTCACACAACCCGTCGAAAGGGGAGGGGGCCCTGCTGCTCCCAAATAGAGCACATTTCATTCATAATGTTGTAAATCAGAGGGAGTGTTCGCCCGGGGCGCCAAACAGGCTAGGACCGCCACTGCCTCAACCTCAACAATAAAGTCTTAGTTTGGTCTGCTTTGAGAGAATTGCCCATCATATGTCATTACTTTGGAGACTGATTTGTTCCAATCAGTGTCTTTGCTGAGAAGCAGCCAGTTAGTGGAAAGGAAATGAGTGCAGAATGAAACAGCAGCAGCATTTGGAGACATTTCAACAACAAAAAAAAGAATTTTAAGCCAGAGTTTTTGCAAAGAAAGCACATGGTGCGGCCGGTTCATCTAACCAACTTGCGTAGCTGGTGTTCATACCATTACTCGAGTCCCTGTGTAATAAAGGAGCCGCGCAACCAAATGTCTCGTAGGAAGCAACACGTCTCATCAGTCCTTGGATGTCATTCCCATCACTAACAAGCACACAGTGAAGGTGTTAAAATCTAAATGCTTTTTTGTTCAATTTTGCCTCCATCTGTGGTGTGAATTCATCACTGTGGTGTTCCTGCACTGCACTTCCCAGACATACACTGTTAGTACAACCAACACTGCTCATGCTAACCTCACAGTTCTCTTGTTTATTCCAAACTGGAACCACATTTTGTTTTTGTCAGATGTATTTTTCCTGGAGAAGAATTACAAGATCCTACCACTTCCAGCTTCTCTGTGGTGGCTTTGTTTTTGTGTATCACTATTTTTTATTCCATTGTTATCATTTTGTTGTCATACTTAGCCTCTTCATGGTTGTTTTGCAGCTCTTATCTTTTCTTATCTTATCACATCACTTTGAGGATATTTTATTGCTTTTTCCTTTGTTTTTCTTATGTGTGTTACTTAGGTTGTTCTGCATCCCTTCCTCTCTTGTCTTTCGACTGGAAAAGACAAATCTGAGCCAGGTCTTCTTGACCCTTTGCATGCCTGAGTCTGTGTCCATGTTCAGTTCAGTAATCCTTCCATGGCCATTTAATGTCGGGGTGAGTGTCAGGCTCCTGGACTTTGGAGCACTGGCCCCTACATAACCTACCTGGAGATCAAAAGTATTTTTTCTATCCTACTATTTGCAACTTTTAGAGTTTCAAACTACTGTAAATGGCACCTGTATGTTAAGACCAGAGTTCAATAAATTATATAGAGTCGTGTAATATTAACACACTACCCAGGACTGACTACGAAACCATTCACCAATCTGTAGTCTAGTTGTGAGGTCCTCTCTCTGTGCTTCTTACATCTGTGTGAAATCACTGACATGAAATTTGCTACGATGTCAGAGGTCGTACAATTCCTGTTTTTCTTTTCCTCTCTGTTTGAGTGCAGAGAAAGAAGAGCAGAAAGATGGAGCTGTAGCTAAATAGATCGCCGGATGACTCATATGCTCTGGTGCTACAGAGAGAGCAAGAGAGCGAGCGAGAGACAGCTCTTGACCCTTCTGACACGAAAGCAGATATCACCTCATTAATTACTCTGAGAAATGACTGTAATGAGAATGAACGAGTGAGACAGAGAAATGGAAAGGAAACGGGGAGAATTATCAGAGAGAGTGAGGAGGAAAAAAAAGAGCGATCAGAGAGCCAGCTAATTAAAATGAGTGCTGAGGTGTGAAAGAAAAAGGGGGAGAGGGACGAATTTCATTTAGAGAGAGGAGACGAGGCAGGATAGATGAAGAGGACGTTGTTCTGTCACGCTTTGTATGCGATATGCAAACCGTAAAGCCATCCGCTATACAGGAGGGATAAGGTTATATGTCACACACATATGAAAGTGAACATTTCACCAGCACTGAACTTAATTTTCGCACAAACTCTTATTCACTCGCAACCTGATGTAGCTTGAGGTGACATGTAGGACCACTGGGATCAAATGGAACGGCGAATTAACCAAAGGGATTATGGGTAAGGAAGACAAATTAAGCTCTGTTTGCAGCGATGTGTAAAATACGATTCTGTTTCACACATGTGTGCAGGCTGCTTTATCCACTTCTTTGAAATCCATCCACCCTGTTCCCCCGAAGGTCTCCCATAAAGCCAGTTTCACCCCTGGCTTGCTCACTGATGAACAACCGGCTTCCCCGGACAGCTCAAATGGATTCTCCACACGCTCCATATACTGAAACTGATCTCGGGCTGCATTCAAATCTCACAGGGATAACCAGAGGCACAACTTGGCAGTTAAGAGTGGTGGCTTGGAAGTATTCGCACAGTCAAACTTCTTTGAAGCTGCGTAGAAGCCACCATTGAAGATTTTTTGAGTGTTTTTTTTTCCTCCTGATGAGCTTTTTCACACATCCAATAAGCGAGTGATACAAATGTGATCATGCACTTTATGGTAAACCATTTAAATCAGCGGTCACCAACCTTTTTTGCGCCACGGACCGGTTTATGCCCGACAATATTTTCACGGACCGGCCTTTAAGGTGTCGCGGATAAATACAACAAAATAAAACTAGTACCGGTACTGAAAAAAAGAAAATTTATTCATAACACACCTGAAAAGACCAAGGAAAACCGAGTTAACGATAAAAACGATAACAAAATAACGCTGAAAACCGATAAAAACCCTGAAAACTATACATTTCACACCTGAGCCTCAACTCTCGCGGCCCGGTACCAAACGACTCATTTCTGGTACCGGTCTGAGGCCCGGGGGTTGGGGACCGCTGATTTAAATGACACCTTAGCAAATTCTATTCTCAACAAACTAATTCAACCCCCCAACGCTTTACCACGACCACACAGTTATCAATACGCAATATAATAATAATAGCAATTAGCACAAGCATACATGCTGACAACGACTTCAACCGCTTGTATAGGTTATGTCGTAGGGTCAAACAAAGGTTCAACAAAGTTTCCCCGCGGAAATCGAAATCAGACCTTAGACTGCCCATCATTTGAAGCTTGCACGTAAAGTAGGAACTAAGCGCCTAGTCTATTTCTCCAGTGACTTACCACAAAACCTGGCTAAATTTGCAAAAGTGATGCACAAAAGATGAAAATTAAAAACTACCTGCCATTATTGAAAGTGACTCGTTAAATAAAACAGCACCTGTTCCGCTGGTATTCATCTCTGAGTGACTGTTGTAAGTCGAGAGCTCGTAGCAACAATCTTTACCGCGTGACGTGGATGTAGCATCAGAAGTAGGAAACTACTCTGACAATCCTAAAGTGTCATCCAGTGGTTTTGCAGGGCTCTTTACTGAGGAGTGTAAGATAGTTTACTACAGCACTTGTTGTGTTGAAATAGATTATTTATGTCAGTGTTAGGAAAACCCTTCACGCGTTTAAGGGTCCTCCCACAGTCTGAGAGGACTGGGCTCTCATTGGGGAGAGTGACATTTGTTTACTGCGAAGTATTCTTCCTGACAACAAAAAAATACA